ATTGTGAAACAATATATTATCAGATAAAAGTTTAATTTTTAAAGGTTTACATTTTTGAGAATACGCTTTATGTATGTTCACTTTGAACTGAGACTTTGAATAATATATCAGTTACTTTTTATAATAATATATATTGTTACATAATTATTTCAGTTGTTAAAGGTTTACATTTTTGAAGATCTGCTTACATTTTTGAACATGGCTTTTTACATATACGCTTTAATCAAATACTGTTTTCTGTCAAATCACTCAAAATTTTTTTTAATTTGTCAAAAATTAACACATATTTTTTGTTAAATACCCTGGAAATTCTGGATGTGGAATTTAATTTTATCTCATCCACAGGAATTTTTGGTGTGGAAAACTTCATATCCTCCATGATAAAGTTTTTATCTTTGGTTTGGATTACCTGGGTGCTCCCAGAGTGTGATGTCATCCTTATCTAACGTTCGGTAAATAACAAGGCTGGAGTAATACCTGGATGACATTCAGATGGGTATCTGGACTCAGCACAAGGTGAATATTAATAGTTGAACCAGCTTTTTACCGTGGATAAATTGTGGACGCTAGTTTACAGTAAAAAATTGCTTTCAAACTGGACTAGATGTTTCTTATTTATATAGATTTTTGAATGCTGAAAACGATACCGCGCAAGCTAAAACATTCTAAATAGTATGTCAGGTTTTCCAAGATAATTATGATTTAATGTCAAAAAAGTAGCTTTTTTGAAACAATATTTGACATTTTCTTTAAAGAATATTAATATTACCTTGAAATTTTGATTAAAAGTCATGAATGTATTGTTCATCCCCTGTAAAATTTTTTTTTCACTTTTGATATCTCTTATTTTTTAGCCAGGCTGTAAAGAATTCAAATACAGGGTTTTTCTAAGATAACAAATTTTTTCAATTTTAACTTTATGTTACAAAAAAATGTAATCAAATAACGCAAAAAATCCATTTTTTGTACATTAAATCTCAATAATTCATTAATAATGCAAAAAAATTCATTCTTTGTACATTAAACCTCAATAATTCAAGAATGATGTGCCAGTGAAATTTAACTTGCAGCATCGTTTTCAGTATCCAAAAATCTATAAAAAAAAAACATCTTATCTAGTTCGAAATAATTTTAAATAAATTTTTTGTAAACTAAAATTATCAACTGCAATTGGAAAAAGCATAAGAACCCAAACAACACAAAGTCCAAGATTGGCACATAAGATCTATAAGAACTGGACGAATCACAATTAATTATTCTCCTCGCATTCGACTGTAATTGGGCAATTTTTTACAGTTTAAGGCTTAAAATATCTATTGTAGACCCAGATTTAAAAACGTCTCATGTCTCGATTTTGGACTTTGTTGTCTGGACTCTTACGCTTTTTTCAATTGCAGAAAATTTATCTCTCATGGTAAACAGTTGATTTAACCTTTAATATTCACCTTGTATATTATTATCGACATTTTGTCCTTCCACTGCATTAAAAAAAAATCAAAATACTATAATGAAACGAGAAATGGAGAGAGGTCAGAAACGTTATCCCGACGGGAATCGAGGGCGGATTATCTAACACAGACCATATATTTACGCCGTTTTTATTAATAAAACATTTAGAAATTACACTTGTACGATGGTGTCCTTTACAGTTATGGATCATCAATCCAATATTGGTCCTACTAAATTAAATTAAGTATAACAAACAATTCCTCCTTTTTTTTCTTTCTTCGTCTCCTTATATTTCGTGTCGACAATTATAATCCGCTATTATATACATTATATGCAAACATGCGCATACACGAGCATGTACACGCAATCAGAGCCCTATGCACGTGATATTGCGATGTTCCAAAGAATTGGTTGGCGGGAAATTTCCCGGGAGACTTTCTTTTGCGACTTCTCGTTTGTTTTCTCCCTTTTCCATCTCATCTCTTTCTCTCGCTCGATCTCGGAAATCTTTCTTGGATGATCTCCGTACGTCTTCTCCAAGCGCTCATATGCGCTAGAAAATCGTATGCCGAGGCAGTGACACGCTTATTTGGCAAGATCCTTTCAGCAAACAACATCGCATTACAACGTCGGGCAGGCTCCGCGGGCATTGTGATCAAGAACAAGAGATGTTCGCCGTTGTGTCTGTGGCAAGTGCGCGTAAATAGAGGATTTCAGTCGATGAAAAACCTTGACCCAAATTCTCGATACTGTGAACACGTGAGATTTTTATGCGTATTTATTCATACAGCAAAGATTTCCGAAGGATATCTTAAAAATGTTTAGACGTTCCTTTTACAGAAATCTGGCCAATTTATTACTGAAAGAGAGTAATTAATTATTTATTTTGAGTACTAAAAGTAACGAGCAACAGTGCTTTTAATACTTAAAATAATTAATTATTATCTTTCAGTATTGACCAATATTAAATTTCTATAAAGTACAGCCTAAGGATGTTCCCAAAATATCCGTCGTATAAAATGTGCTGTATAAATGTGTACATCGTACCGTTCTCTATGTGAGACTCATGTTATATTGGAATCGAAGTTGTCGTTGTGCCAAAAAAAGACTTTGTGGCGTTGCGTCTCGCGTACTACTTTAGGCTCCCAAAGCGCGTAAGAAAAAGTAAAGATAAACATGGTGTTGTATCGTTGTATCGTTTGAGATCATTAGTATTTACAACTAATTAACGGGAACAGAATATGAAAAGCGTCGCAATGGGTGACCAGTTTCGACTAAGAGAACGGACTAAAATGTACAAAGTTTTTTCGCATTATATTGCAAACGATTTTTGTCTTGATCACAATGCTAATCAATTTGTAATGTAACTTATTTTTTTATAGATCATCGCTTTTTACACAATTTCTTTTTCTTTTTTTTTTAGCCAATCCTCGGGTTTCTTTGTCTCGGCGCGACAAATGTTTGTGCTAGTAATTCCAATCAAATCTACCATCTTTGCTGTCGAGAGGCACCCACACGCGCGCAACGAACTAACATCCCATTTAATATACATACGTATGTGAGAAAGCTTTATGCTTTATACGCGCGGATACATAAACGCAATGGAAGATACATCGCGGAAGATGAGAAGAACTCGGAGATTTATTCGTCAGCATTTGTAGAGAATAAGACTCGCCCGTAATCGAGGTTTTCAGTTCGGCGGAACTTGAACGAAACACGAGTAACAAATGCTAACATCGAATGCCATCTCTTTGCTAAGTAATTCACACTGACACGCATCTCATTCACGTCTCATTAATTAAATGCAGGTGATACGATAAAGTCATAAATGAACAGTAAAAAAATATGTAGACCCCGTTGTTATATATATATATATGACAAATCAAAGTAGCAGTTCATGGTAAGTTCATGGTGTCGTTCAGTAACATTTACGAAGACAAAGTTTCGTTTTTCCACCGTAACCTGATTCGCCACATATACTTCATATACTTTCGTATGTTATATGTTCTGTGTACGCATATAGAAAATTGAACCTATAGAAGTGCCACGGCTTTGTTACCCATCCACACGCTTGGATACACGCTCTCCCTCGAGAACGCAGCAGCTGCCATTTAGGATTGAGAGATCACGAATGCGAATGAACATGAGACTCTCTTGCCACAATTAGACCGACCTTGTATAACCTTGCTTTGTTACAATAACATTGATAGATTTGACAGTGCGAAATTCCTACGAATCAATCACAAACATTTCCGCATCCCTATTTCCTGCAGGTTTTTATACACTTGTATTACAGATCTGACCACCAAATCAATCTACATTTGTTTTTCAGAATTAAGTACGAGGCACAGCCCAACGACAAGAGAGCTTTGACTCATTACACGCGTGTTCGGCAAGATTAATCGTGCAAGGTACACCTGAGCAATTTGCGGCCTACAAGATATCGCGTTGACGGAAAATTTCTTCTTTCAAGCCTTGCAGAATTTCGGCACCTTGTAAAAATGACTCAAACTAACCGGTATGCTCCATAATTGTGCCGACAGGCACTCACGAGCGCGTGCATGTCTGTGATTCTGGCGACATAATGTCCAGAGTACTGCACGGGGGGTCACATGAAGAACTCCCTGGATCGGCTAATATGCAGTCACGACGCAGGTCTATCTAGTACCGAGATCTCTATTAGCCTGAGCCCACGTGTTGTTGGATCTGTGAGCAGGAGGCCGCGTGGCTTGTATACTCGATCGTTTTGCTCGCTGACGAACTTGGCAACCTTGCGCAGACACTTTTCATAGTGTGTTTCGGTACATATGCTTATCAGATAACCTGTGAGACAGTATAGGCAGCTCTCGCAGTATGTAGAACAACTGGCACGCTCTGCCTCAGCGAAGTAGTTGTTTAACTGATTGATCGTGTACTCGAACAATTGTCTGTCTAACTAAAGAAGAAATATTTTCTAATAAATATTTTTCGATCGTTTTTATTTTCAAAAAATATATTAGCTTTGCGATATATATATATATATATTAGAAATAATTGACTGCGATACTTACTCTACTTTCCAATTCTGTAGGAAACCGTGTTTGGAACTTGACCATAGTACCTTCACTGTAATCGCGCTGTATAAAAACTTTCTCACAGTTCTGAGGAGGACCTCCACCTGCCTGCCCTCGTCCCGCGGACATGTCTTCCAGCGGTGTGAGGGCAGCATGATTACCCTAAAAAAATACAACATTACCATATTTATTACAAATTATTAAGTCTATATTTTTTGTAATACCAATATACAGACTGTAACCTTATCTCCCAAATATAACAATATAATACATTTTCATACATGTTAATAAAGAGCAAATATTTATTATGGATATTAATATCAGATTCTTGTACAATAACATACTTTTCTCTCGTAAATAATCTCTTCAGGCAGTACACATAATGTTTTCTTCGAGCTCTGGCTCTATAAAATAAAATGTAACGTCGCATAACTATCTTTGAATTTCTTGGAAAGACTGCTATTTTCAGCTGTTTCTTTTTACAAATATTATATATATAGAACATATACTTAATACATTCTCACACTCTCAACATCAATAAGTATTGCATATCACCCTGATATTGGAAACATTTGTTTGACATTAGCGTTAACTTGTAGTATATAGATAGACATACTTTTCTGTCATTACAAATTCCATTATATTACATTCCGGGCAAATTCTCTAAATTCTGCTGCGTATAAAATGAAGCTTAACGCTGATGTTTCAACTTGCTTTGTCTCTCGAAAACTCGCTTTTATCCTCGCATCATTCTTTGAGCTTGGAGTTAACCACAAAAACCGCACCCAGCTCCTACCTCGGAAATCGTAAGGACGGGCAATCGCATCCTCGCTTCGTTTTGTAGCTACAATCGCTCCTCGATCAAGAATCGTGACGCAGAGAATTGATTTTCGAGGAACAGATCACAAGAGAGCCAAGCAAAACACTATTCACGAATGAGGGAATGACAGCCAGATGAGCCAGAAAGAGGCGCTTGTGAGAGAGAAAGATGCAGAGAAAAACAAAGAAAGAGCGCATGGAGGATGGACTCACCAGTGGCATTTTGAGCTTCGTCTTGCCGGTTGGTTACCGTACGCTTCCGACGAAAGCCGAGCTCGACCGTTGCTGTCGCGCTCGCGGTTGCCGTGATTTCTTCGATGCGAATCGACGCGACGAGGATTCGGGCTCGAAAAATCGGCCAAAGGATCGCTGTCGTCTGCACGCACAGACCCCACGACTCCGCAACTCGCGGTCGCCATGAACGGTGCGCGCGCATGCGAAATGCGATATTCGCTCTTTTCCTGCCCCGCTCTTCACCCCACATTTCATTCCATTTCTAGGTTTGTCGCGTCGCATGCTCTAACATACTCCTACTTCCTCCAACCTTCAACTGTAGCTCCTACTCACTCAAACGCGCTCGTTAAAGTGAGTAGGAGCTATGGTAGGAACATGTTGAAGCATGTTGGAGTATGCGACGCGAACAAACCTTCTATTTCTTTTCGCGGATTAACGTGAGATGTTTACAGTGTTTACATGTGTAGATTTCGAATTGTGAGAGAGGAAGATTAGAAAACGTCGAAGGTACAGAATTAAATTAACCACTTTTGTCCCGGAATCAATTTTTTTTGCGTTGCGATTTTTTGCGCGCTTTCTGATGTTTGAAACACCGAAAATTAAAGGTTTGTTCGCGTCGTATGCTCCAACATAATCCAATATGCTCCTGCCATAGTTCCTACTCATTCTAATGAGTGCATTGAAGTGAGTAGAAGCTATGATAAGAGCATATTGAAGCATGTTGGAGCATGCGAATTGCGACAGTGTTGAGACGGACCGGATTTTTGGCGCGTGCGTATCCAATTTAGTTTCAGTAACGTACCGATCAGTAGTAAATAGGAGATCATTAGTTGCCTATGTAAAATTTTTTCAAAAATGTTGAAAATTTTAATATATTTTACATACTTTACATATGTATACATGTATATAAAAATATATAATATATTTTTATTTACAAGTTAAGGTTTACATTTTTAGTACTAAGAAAAATTGCGCTAATTGAAACCAGCGTCGACTCCTATTGCCTGTATTACATATTTCATAATTTTATTAATTGTTACAATATATTTCATAGATTTTACGTATGTATTCGAATATATAAATATTAAAAACTTAATAATTTGCGTCTAATAATAAAATATTAGCTGAAATATCCTTCAATAGTAGAACTAATAACGTTTTCGGCCCAATCGGGTTTGCACCAATCTGGGTTGGATTAATCTTTCCTATTGGTTGACGTCACCCGCTCTACCAATAGGAGAGCACAAAACGCCATTAATCCAACCCAGGTTGGTGCAAACCTGGCCGGGCCGAAAACGCTATAAGTGATCTACGGTATAAAAAGCGACATTATGTTCAGCATAAAATGCTGCTAATTTAATTTCGAATCGTTTAACTTTATCTTTATGTGATAATTTTACTAATTTATTATTATCATTATCAACTGATTTTTTAAAATTTATATTTTCAATATGTTTGACTGCCTGTGAGTGTTTAATCAAATCTGTTTTACAACATCTGATGAGTTTATTGCATGCAGTACATATTGCTTTATCTTCTTGGTGGGAAGGAGCTAACCATCCTTTAATCTAGTCTCTCTAATCGCATTCTCATCTAGCCATGAAAATTGAAATGTCATAATTTTACGTTTCTTAATTGCTCCTTTTTCCATATTTAAATAAAATATACTTAAATTAAACTAAATAAAACAAATTATACTTACCTTTACCTAGCCCATCCTTACGCAGAGCTCGCCAAGACTACGCGCCCATTTCTTCTACACTGGCTACACATTAGGCCTGTTCTTTTTGGCTGAACTTTTGCACCAGTTCATCTTTTTTCCTCTTCTTTCCTCCTAAAGAGAAAAGGAAGAAAGATGAACTGGTGCAAAAGTTCAATCAAAAAGAACAGGCCTATTACAATGCGCTCGCTGCTCATCGTCACGCTAGAATCCTAGATTTATCAGAGAGGCGCAATCGGCTTAAGTCAGTATGACAAAGATGCTAAGGAGAGTACTAAACATGACCGACATGCTATGAAACTGCCTTTAAACTATGTCAAACAAGATAAGACGTATAGGATAATGTGAGATAGAATGTATACGATAAAATGAAATAGAAATATGTCACTAGTACTATAAATAGCTGCCAAGTCACGCAATTGGTTAGATTGCAACAGCGAATCAGAATGTATAACACCGATTGCGCCTCTCTGATAAATCTAGAACTCTAGGGCAGCCAAGAGAAAATACTATCAGTTCAACTGCGCAAATTTACCCCGGATCTACAATAGGTGTTTTAAGCCTTAAGCTGTAAGAAATTGACCAATTACTCCGGATCTACAATAGTGTTTTAAGCCTTAAGCCATAAGAAATGGACGAATCACAGTCGATTATTCCCCTCGGATTCGATTGTAATTGGTCAATTTCTTACGGCTTAGGTCTTAAAACATCTGTTGTAGATCCGGGGTTACAGTCGAATCCGAGAAGAATAAGCGACTGTGATTCGCCCATTTCTTATGGCTT